TTCAAACGAGTCCTCGTTCGCAATATGCACACCAAGTCATGAATTAATACGGAACGTGCCTTTCTAAAATAAACCTTTTAGAGTACACGTTATAGCTCACAGATTTGTCGTTGCTCATACGCGAAGTCTGTGCACAAGAAGTAGGCAGGTAGTAGGTAAAGTGGCTGTCTTACGACACACCTAGGCCTTTAGGAGGCCTTTTGTGATACCACCGGGACTAAGGTCCCTCACTATATTTGCTCCTCACTGAACCATCCCATACTTCTGATGAACTTCATCAGTGAGAAAAGTTTTATCCCTGCAACTTCCGAGACGTCGTCAAGAAACCCAGTGCTGCCCAATTGCATAGAAGATGTTTGATAGTCTCCTCCTCTTCTACTTCCTGACAGCTCCTACAATAGTCGTTATATGCGTACCAAGTCTACTTGTTTGTCTTCCTATTAGATAATGACCTGTTAGTACTCCTATTAGAGTTCTTATATCAAATTTTAACAAACGGCATGTGCGGCACATATTCCATTCATGCCACGTTTGTCTGCTAGTTGAGACAAGTCAGCGCCTGATTCCACTTAGACACACTTATTTTGTCGATTAAGTATCTACAAGTAGCCGAAGGCATATATATGTCCTCCTTACCAGAATCTAGTTGTAGGGTGCTGCCTGTTTGGCTAGTTCATCTGCTATACAGTTCCCGCGGATATCACTGTGTCCTGGACCCATTGCAGATTTAACGTTAAATATGATGTCAGATTCTTTCTCTGAATGAAATCCTATAAGACATCAGAGATTTCAAAGCCGCCTGGCCGTCTGTATATATAAATATATTTTGTTTGTGATCACACTTCTTGTCAGTACAAGAAGGCTTTCTTTGATTGCGGTGACCTCCGCTTAGAGACACTGCAATGGTCTAGAAGCCGAAAGGCGATTTGGTATCTAGTTTGGAACCATCCATATAGAAGCTTATCATTGCTTCCTTGTCTACACTTTCCCACTCCTCTCTGGAAGGGAAGGCAATATTGGGGACCGGATTTAGATTCTGCTCTGTAAGACTTCGAAAATTTCGTGGTTATGAGAAGAAACGGGAACTTCCTAAGTATCATAGAATGCCCATTGTTGCTGGCGACTAGTAGGATAGATTCCCTCAGTCTCAGAGCTGACTTCGCTGCAAAACAGGTCTGTATAAAATTACGTGCCTGGCTGGGCGTTGTTCTGAGACCTCTACTGATGCAAATCTCGCTTCTCTTTGTATACTTCTAACCACGTATTTCTTTTCTATAATTAATCACCATACCAATATACCGTAAGTCATAATAAGCCTTACAATTGCTGTGTAGAGCCAGTCAGCTACCCGAGGCGTCAGTCCCCATCTGGGCGCCACTATTCTTTTACACGTATTAAGCGCTGTAGCCACTTTCTTTCCTAGCTTCCAAGTTTTGTTTCCACAAAGCTTCCTGTCCAAAATTAGTCCCAAGTATCTTTATCTCCCATCGTTCGCCTGGTACCATTAAAAGATGGCGGCGGATTTCTGAATACTGTGCTTCTTAGTGAACAATACTAGTTCTGCTAGGGAAGGTATTCGGAACTTGCCTCTAACCGAAACTGTCACATCATTAGCGTATGCCACAACCTTCTTTTCTAGATCCACAACCATTTTCATTGTCAGGATCCAGAGAAGTGGGGATAACACGCCTCCTTGGGTGTACCCCTCGAACAGATCTACGCATCGTTGAAGGTCCCAGCGTTGAAATAATTGACCTGCCCAAGAGCATCTGTTCAATTTATTTCCGAAGAGGCTCAAAGATGTCCAGATTCTTTATAAGACTGCTACGAGGGTATAGTCTTTTATATCAGAGACTTTTCAATCTGTACTACCACTGAGCTTACGCCGTTTCTGTGGATTTACCTTTAGAATACGAGTGCTGCGAAACTGCATTTTTCCTGGGTTTAGTTTGCCCCTTATATGTATTTCTATTAGTCTCTCCAGCATTTTTAAGAGAAATGAGGAAAGACTAATTGGTCTAAAATCCTTTGAATTAATGGGCTTTTGCCGCGGCATATATATCACCTTGACTTCGCTCCATACCGGGGAATATAGTTTAATTGCAGTCTACCTTTAATCATGGTTGTTAACCAGTTTATTATGTAACTTAGGGACTGTTCACTGAGCCAGGAATATCCCATTTGGTCCCGGCGATTTATAAGGCTTAAGCTGCCTATCGCCCAATAAACATTACTGCCTGACGCTAAGTTTAACGGAGGAGATTCTGAGAACACTTCACTCTCCAGTATATGCTCCGTTAT